GTTCATCATCGTCCACCAACTCAGCCCGGGTCCGGCTGTCGGGGTCGGGCACCCTGCACCGGTGGTAACATCGTGTTCACCGCCACCGTACAGCGTACCGACGGCAGCGTCCCCGAGGTCGCCGATGATGATAATTGTTGTGGTTTCGTACGAGGTTTAGGTGATAGATGACCGCGGGCGTGGATGTTGGTGCAGAAGAAGATATCGGTGGCGTCCAGACGTCGGTTGGTGTTAGGTCAGGTTCGGCAACAGAACACAAGAAGACAATCCAGATCAGTTTAGAGTATTATATTATTATAATGATAGTAAAACAATAAAGCATTTGTGCACATTATATTATGTAATAATTTGCGTTCGCGTGGATAGTTCTATACTTTATTTGATAATAATACAATATTTATAAATATTTTATATAAATCGTGCCCGCAGCTCAGACGGACGAGTCGCGCGCTCGATTATTACGACAACGTGATCATGTGCGACCAAGGGTTGTATCTAGAGTCAAATAAATTTTWAAAAATCAAGTACGAACACAAAGTCCGCGGTGAATAAAAAAACCGTTGCGAGAATAATTATCGCGCCGTTTCACTTTTGAAAAATTATAAACAAATAAAAATTATAACGAACGATAAAATAAAAAATCAAAAAAAAATCGGAAAGGCAAAACTTTTCTAGAGACGACGATTTTTTTTTAATGTTATTATAATATATTATTGTATGCGAAATACGCGAACGGAACTACCGAGACCGCGGACGGCGCGTGTGCGTGTGCGGCGGAGGTCCGAAGTTTCGTACGCACGGTGCACGAGAGCGGACTGACGTGAGAAGTGACGACCGCCGATGACGGGTGACGACACACCGCACCCGACGGCTCACAAACGGGCCGACACGAGCGCGTAGTAGTTGTCGTTGGTGTTCAGCGGCGTGCACCGTCGCCGCGCGCCCGTTCGTGTGCGCGTGTGTGTGTGCGCGCGCGCCGCGCTCCCGTCTCTCGCTTCCGTCCGACCGGCGCGCCGCTCGGCGGACCGGCCTCGGACTACGTGTCACCACCGTGTGGCCGCCGGCGCTCGTGACAGCGCTGCTCTCAGGGCCGTCGAGCGGACAGAGCCGCTGCTGCTGCCGTTGCTACCGTATATCATATTGTTATACACTCACAACTTACTGAGTGGAAATATTATTACTATTATTCATGTCCGCCACCGTCGCCATAACGATATCAAAGGCGCCCTTTCGTCGCTGAAACATATATATGATAATGGCGCGCGCCCTCGATGTTTTTAGTCGTATCATGCCTTCATGGACGCATATTATAATATCATAATAATACATGTAACATAATTACAGTGAATATTGAACACTGTCAAAGACTGTGCGAGATTAATATATAACCTTCAGATCGAAGTGATCACGAAGTTTCCTGATAGGTTAAGTTAGGTCCACGAAAATAAACTATGTCTATGTTAAAAATGTATTGTACTCTTAATACTCTAAATGTATCTATAAATATAGCTATTATCCTCAAGTGCACTGTTTGTTGACGTGTTATAAACACAATATTTTTATGCCTATATGTATTCTTATTTGGGTTTTGAAATCCGGCAGATAGAAACCAACCTAAATAATGTATTAACATCTATATTTTATAACGTGAAGAGTGATTTAGAAAATAGTATTAGTATATAATATCTGAAACCTGCAGCATGCAGTGAATTTTGTATAGGTTTTGTATATATAGGTACTAACGTATATATATTTAATGATGATTATATACAGTTTMCATATATTATGTATGTATAAAATGAAGTTAAGAAATCCGGATTCCGGTTCTATATATTATCTGGGTTTCATACAAATATAAAAGGAAAACTGCTCTGCTCGAGAACCGGCTCGTCAAAAATAATATGTTATTATTCGTCACGTTCAAAAAATTCGTTGACTATATATATTAGTATTTATATATTGGTATTTACAGTCCTTCTGGAAGTATGCACTACCAGTATTATACCTTCCTATGTATATATATATATATATACGTATATATATCATGAAAACCCATTAAGGACGACGGTCCGGCGGTAAAATAAATTGTATTCCTGACCTCAACCCTTTTGGAGTTTATGAGAGATAACGGTCGTCGTTTGCCTACGTATATATATAAGCTCCAACTATATATTATATATATATATATATATATATATATATAAATAATATTATATAAGTACATATATTATGCATATATGAAATATAATATACGATATATGTGTGAGCACTGTGAGCGTGTATCGACATATCTACGGCGACCTGGACGTCTGATCGCCAGCGACTTTTGAAATCCGAATTCGAATAACGGAYGCCATATAATAAGGTACAATATAATACAGTATGACATTCCTATAAAATGGAATGTGTATATATATATGCATGTGATGTGTATTTTTATTGTTGTGACCGTTAAAATGCGCTGCAGCAGTATCTATGTATATAGGTACCTACATTATGAGACGGATTAAAGGTGTAAGCGTGGACTTATATATTTTATAATATTTTCGATACAAATATTAGCTGCAGACGACGGACGTATTTGCACCGGTGAAGAGATAAGAGATGAATAGAAAAGTGCCAACAAATTTGAAGGGAATAAATAAATAAAAAGGAAATGGCGCGTGAAAAGACGTGTCGGCCCAACGCGTGCGCTCAAAAGCGTAGCGTATACCTTTTATTATAATATAAACCTTACAATTTATACTTATACTCATAAAATATTAACAGCATGACAAAGGTCACACGCAGACAGATTAGTGCTGTACATATAGGTATTATATGYACACGATGAGGGACGTTTTATATATAGGTATCTACTATGTCTAATGCGCATATATATAATACATTGTACCTCTTCGACAAATTTTTCTTATTGTACCTATATGTTATATATAATATGGAACACAACAAAAGCGGTGTTGACTCTCGAATCGCGACGCGCCTGACGCCGAACAGTGCAGCAGTAATATACAATGTCATATATAGGTATTGTKCAAAGCGACAACACACATATACTCGCCATTATATCATATACAATATATTATACAAAACATCATTGCGATCCGCCTAAGTAGGTAGATACATACAAATTTTTAGTCACGGCCCCTCGACGAAACGTCAAATATAATATTTTATACCGTACATATATGGGTATATATATATCGTTAGAAAAGAGGGCGCGCGACAACAAAAACTCGAGTAAAGGGAAAACAAAAAATTATGTATAATATAGATTTATATGTAGGCATGTATAGCGGCCGAGGGAGAATTTTCAAAGTCTGGTTGGCGAAAGGGTGGGGGTGACGATGATCGGGAGATGGTATAATACTATGTATATGGCGTCGTTATTACATTATAACCGGTGAGATGGAAAATTGCGCATTGTGTCAGCGGCGGCGGCGTCGTCGTCGCCGTCTAAAGAACGACGGGTGCTATATATACAGACAATATATACATACATGTGTGTGTGTGTGTGTGTGTAAAATATAGTCGACTTTCAAAATCATTATATTATATTATTATATTATATAGTTGTGCGTCTCACGATAGGGRACCGTCGTCGAATTCAATCTGTAAGTGCGCGCGTGACTGCAGCAGGCGAAAGCCGGTGTTCGAATTTTATGATGCGCGGAAAACAAACGACCGAAAATAATATAATAATCTCTATAGTCTTTGGTATCTTCCTCATCGTCATCATACTTGCTCGAAAAACAGTGTTCTAGGAAAAAAAATACAAAAACGTTTCTCGGTATATATAATAATATATTGTAGGTACCTATATATATATACATATATATATAATTTATAGAATATATTAATATGGTTGGTAGACGAGCTGCAGATGAGACGACCGAATTTTTAGTATTTTAAGAAAGCGCTGCTGCAGGTTTCTGTATACGAGGAAAATATAAAGATGTTAGACGCCTACTGATGTATATGATTGTATACATATAAATATACCTATATATATTATTATTATATTAAGATGTMATCGTCGCGGTCCACCTGCGCCGGTTGAAGCGTATAATATATCCCTAAAATATGTAATAGTATAATGTTAAATTATATATACGTAAAATAATCATGCAGACGATGACGATAATAATATTAAATCGTATATTATACAATGATAATAATATAACGTTAGCTGCAGCCGCCGACTGTGTACAGATCTCAATCGGCACGACTACGGTCTACGACCGGTCGAGACAAGCGGCGCGGCGTCGAACGCCGCCATCTTTGCGCGCGCATGTCGGCTCATTATACGATTTTCGACTGGCCCGCAGACGCGCCGCCACGGGAGGTCCGACGACGTCCAGAGAGCGCACGCACGCCACTGCGCTCGTTATCTACTGTTATTGTATACATTTTCTATTTTTGTGTATTATTTAAAGGAAAATAATATATGATTTAGTTATACAACTTTATCTGTGTATATGGAATTAACGAATATGATAATATAACGACTGACTATAGTATATATATTATATACCTACGCATCGCGCATATATATAGGTACTTGTATTATATATTAATTATATATCATGAATAATGTATTATTGTTGTAGTATATGTTGTATGTAGGTATAGCTTCAAATATCTACGCGGAATGTTAAATATATAAGTAGTAGGTAGGTATATTATAAGTAGGTATTATGTTGCAAATGTATATCCCGCAGTCAATGACTTTTCTATTAAAAAAAAAAAATTATTTTGGAAWACAAACACTTTATTATATATTACATTATTGCAGTATAGACARTGAAGATCAATTTGTATTAATAAGTATATAAGTACAATCAGTGGAATAGCCAGAAATTTCGTATGGAGGGGGGATAATTTACTTATAACGGTGTTAAAATGTATTATTATGACGTAATATATTTAATAATTCGCTTTTTAATAATATATAAGTAAATAATATAGGTAGCAATAATAAGTGATACGTGTATATAGGTAAATATCTAAAATGTATATATAATTATCTACTAATTTCCATTAAATAGGTATAGTAAAATTTTAGTTAGTTTTAAGTATATTATATTATACATATAGGTACATAATATATTATGTAGGTATACCTACGTATTGAACTTTGAGAATTACTCAMAGTAGGGGGCCGCGGTACAGGAGTTGTATAAATGGGTGGGTGCGTAGAAAGGAAACACGGTGAGTTACCTTGAATATAATATAATATATTATATAAATACCTATATATAAAGTCAAGTTAATATTCAATGCACGGTTTAGTTAAAATGTATATAGTTTCTGGGAATAAAACTAATTCCGTGGAATATATATTAAAATAAAAATAAATTATTCTATGCGGTAATATATAGATACAATACGCATATTGTAAGTAGATATGAATAATATGTGCAGGAATYATCGCACGCGAACGCTCAACTCAAAACTTTATAATATAATAATCGTATTTGTATAATAATATGTGTGCTCYTTTATTATTAAATTTTAACATAGGTATAGGTACACATCGCACTCACCTATACATTTAATTATGTATTACGTAGGTAATATTTATTATTATTATTATTATTGTGAACTTAAAATATAAAACAATATATTATTGGAAGGTACATAGATTTTTTGAGAATTTAGTTTCGATAATTACCTTGGACGCTGGCCAGAGTGATAGCAGGCAAGAAACAGTGCAACCTGTAAACACAAAACAAATATAAACATCTTTATTAATAGTTATGCAGTTTTGGATAAATTTACATATTATATACTATCACRTTAGTATACYATTAAAATATATGTAGATTACATGACTTATCCACACGATCGAGCACTGCAGAATAATATGTAATAATATATATATTCGCGTGACAGAAGGGGTTTCACAACGCTGCTACACGCATCACTGAACTGCAGTGCACTGCAGTATGCATCATGCACGCGCGGACACGTGACAACACGAATATATTAATATATACACACTATAATACAATGTRTGTGCTGTTTACATTTAATTTAAATAAGATTGATTGATTTATGTAAGCACTAATGTATATAATATAGGTAATAGGTATTGTACCACCTAAAGCTAGCTATACCTATATTAAATAAGGTATAGGTAGGTATATTTGTATATATTTAATATTGGGCTGGAGTATTTTTTAATTTTTCTTCCCCGGAAATTCTGCTGCAGCTTATATATATATAAGGTAGTAGCTAAAATATTTAGGTAGGAATGGCCAGTATAGACATCAGTATTATAAATTATAAAACTGTAGACAGTAAAATATTTTCCTCGTTTGAATATTATTGTCTAAAACCGGTTTTAATTACTTAATAACTTTTTCTCGAATTAATTAAATAATATGAGGATTTTAATTTTATGCATTTTTATTCTTTTATACACTCCTCCAATTTCAGCCATAAAATAGTGTTTCCCCTAAATATATCCTAGTCGATCTCATAGTGTATATATGTATATATATATATATATATGTACAAATGTATAGCATATAGAGGTACCTATTATTTAACGTTATTAATATTAATATTAATTATATTATATTGTTAGTATAATATTATTCACTTATGTAACGTGTATACTGTGTTGTATAATGGTGACGAGACAGTGTAGAATTTACTATATAGAATGCATATTATATTATTCATGTCCCTGAGAGCTGACAGGTCTCACGCTGATATGGTCCACGAAAATAGGCATGTGGTACATGACTGGGGACTAAAGAATCGTTTCCATTGGCATGTGAATACAATGGGATGTGGGTAATATAAGTATATAACATTGTATGGTTTATGTATGTAAATCTTAAAATATATAATATATTGTAATGTACGGTCATCCTTATAGCTTTGACGAGACTCGTGAGATTATAAGATACATTTTTCGTTATTTTTTTACACCGATTTGAAGTGCATATATTTTAATGTGCGTACTTACTATTATAGTTATTACTGCATTCTACCTAATCATAATCGACATAATCACACCGCACACACTTGAGGGCTGCCGGTCCGTGGTATACCTATTATGTAATATATACATAGATTTTCGTAGACGCAGTATATATATAATATATATATATACATATAACCAAATAGGTATTAATATATCATATTTATTCACATATATAACGTGTTGTGTCACGTTTAATATACTGCGGTATACTGCGGTGATCACATATGTTTTTGTCGACGAAACGACAATAAATCATCTGGATAAGAAATTGTCGTCGCCACTACAGTATTACGCACTCGGCTAGCAAATGAATCACTTCRACCAGCATAATATGCAATATATAATATATTATTATATTTATAATACTGTTGCAATTTATGCAGCAAATATCAATATTATTATTTTATAAYAATACTATAATATTAACGTATATTCTCGAATTACTAATTTGAAAATGCTACTGCATTGATATTTAATTGTTTATTTAATGACAAGTTTGTACTGTTTGTAGTATTGTTCACGAACCTCTGAATATTTTATTTAGAATATTATACTAAGAGACAATACCAGGAATTGTGTGCCATTGTGTTGTTGAGAAATTCGAATTTACTGACAGAGCCTTTAGTAAATTGTAATACTACTCAACTAGCAGAATCTCACGGTGCACATTCAACAAAGACAAGTCAGCCATCGACACGCTATTTAAGTAACCTATTAAGACGTACGATTTTTACATAACTAATTTGTCTGAAAATACAATACGATTTTACATTAAACTATACTTTTAGTATTTTCTATATTTTTTTTATTTATTGTATTACTTTGTAAAATTATTATAATAACACAGATGTAATTTGTTGAGCCATTTATTTATTTAACCTTTACTGTATAATAACTTTGTGAATTATATATTATATGAAAACCCGTCGATCGGTGAATGTGTGTATTGCAATCAGTTAATAAATATAATACGTTACACCATATGTTTACTCTTACGTCCTTACATATATATATGTAAATAGATACGCACATCGGGCACATGTGGGTGCAGGCGAGTTTTCTTGTTTATTTATAAATATCAATAATAGAAAAACGGAAAATCRTGGTGGGCCAACCTATTATTGCTTTGTTCCTGCAGTACGGATATGTACCTACACGACTATACACATTATAATTACATAACCACGATATACAACGATAGAACTTATATATATATATATATCATAGATTCTATATAATATATACATTATACATAGATATAAATCATAATATCTATCCGAGATGGAATACGTGTTGCACGTGCACAGCTGATCTCGGAATACAATTTCCGGCCACAGCGGCGTTTACGACCTCGTGCATTGGACTTCTTATGGCATATACCTCYGATATGTGTGTTTATAGTGTATAATATATGTTATTTATAGTATTATTGTGGTATATGATATCTGTGTATAAACCGTATTCAGTCGTTGAATTCGAGCACGTACAGAAAACCATTTTAAGAAGCTCATAATTTAAAAAAAAATCATTAGTATTGAAAATAAAAAAAAAAATAAAAAAATATTTTATAAATAAAAAAGTAACGAAAATTATGTATGTGTAGGTATTTACAACTATGAGTATTATTCCGGGACTAATAAGCAATGAGAAACCACATATTGTTGAAGGTTTGCAAATAAAAAATTGCGACGGTTTAGTCGGAGAGTGGTGGAATACTCTTATTTTTTATTTAAGCCTCAGCAACTAAGGTTATTGGCTTACAAGAATACTCTTTGTATTGACTTTAAAAGACTGTTTACGTCAACAGATGTGATGGGGATCGTTATTCATCGATTTCGATTTCAAAACTTATGGCATTTTAAAAATTATAAACAAGGCGGACATTTGGTAGAATTTTTAGGAGGGCTTGTAATAATCTGATGTAAAGTAACCCGCAGTAGCTTCGCCCCCGCACTCCTTTTTCATGCACAAGTAAAACATGTTAACAATAAAAATTTGGATGTGTTAAGTTGTATTTAAAAAAAACACTAAATAAGGTATATTTAATATTTAATTTTAATAACAAATATCTATTTTTATCAGCAAAGATATTAAAAATATTATTGCTATTTATATTTTTGAACATATAATTTTCAATATATAGTACTTATAGATAGATCACWGAACTTATCCTGAAGCATCGATATCCTTAGCTGAGTTTTTATTTTCCTCATTATTTATAGTAGTCGAAAATMAATCAAAAATTCAAAAATTACTAAAATATGTATACAGAATATTATTATGCAATTATTTATCAAATATGTGTAAAATAAATTTGAGTTTATTTCAATTAGAATGATCTAAGAATCTATGATCTATCTATTTTTTATTAGATTTAAAATATCTCGTTCCATTAAAAATATGTCAATAAAATCTGTTCCCTAATATTATAAATCAATAATCAAGATCAATATAAATCTCAATAATTAAATATAAGTAACATTATATTGCAGTATATATAAGTAAAACTATGGCTGTTATTATTCTATTCATAAACCATTTCGGAATAGAGAGGTTCAAATCCCTATCTAAAACAACTAGATGTAGGTATATATTTGACYACATTTGGGGCATTTATCAACGTTATAGAAGACATACAAATATAATTTTAAGGGATCGACGAGGGTGGTATTATACTGCAGGAATGCATACAAGCTATATGTATTTGTATAATGTATCACATGTGTGATGCGATCAAACGCATGGTTGGTTGGTCTGTCACCGCTAAAATTCTTACCCCCTATATGTTTGATAAATATACCCTTATATATATAATATATATATATGTATCATCTGAACTGCGCACATGCATATGGGTCCAAAACTCTCTCAAATTGCATGCGTAGACTGATACTAAAAGGTATATATGTATTATATTATATATTATAATTTGTGAGATGTGCATGTAAGATATACACTATCGCTATCGTTAAAATGTTAAATACGTTGCAGATATAACTGTCAAACATGCTACATTTTCTTCGTTATATAATATTCATTATCTTTATTATCATATATTTATGTTTATACAGAATAATTCATCACATTTCATTATGTGATGATCAAAATACTATATACTTGATTACATCAAGTGGTGTTATAAGTATACTGATATATATTTTCGAGATTTACTTATATAATGTACAATTTTTACGCGAATGTATTAAAAAATAAATAATTTAAGATGATTGTACATTTTATTATACAACTAAAGTCTGACCAATTAATCCTGGTAGGATTTTTCAAGAATCATACACATTTGTTATCATTGTATAAATATTTATTTCTAATGTTTTTCGGCCCCAAAAACAACCAATTTAATTTTTAAAATTATTTTATAGCTATACGGATAATGATTTATATTTTATTGTTTGCAGTGTGTTGTTATACATTCTTGTATTATGCTACTATTTTCACGCATTGCATCATTATAACGATCGTCTTGGGTGATGTAAAAATATAATATCAAAGTTGTAAAACGATATAAGAATATAACAATATTAATGCCTTTTTTTGTCGTCAATTCGTATTATATGTTCAATAATATATTATATATACATAACAATTGTTATTTGTATTAGTTATTTTGTCCTATTCGCGACTGCGCGACGCGCGACTTTATAATACTGCGATTATCATATATATATATATATATATATATATACATACGCATGATTTGTAAAATAAATTGAAGACTGATTCAAACTATAAAAAAAGTTTGAAGTGTTTGAATAATGCCATATAAAGGATTTTATATATTATATATATATCACTAAAAGACGATGCGCGAAGAGTTTTGAAAGAAATTTCGATTTGTATATATTATATTGAGTAGTGAAATAGTTTGTAGCAAAAGTTTCCGTATGGTATGTGTACCATATTATCGTCTATCTCTTAAGCATCACGTTAAAACTGTATGCCATATTTTATTTCATTCCAATAATCTATAAATTTCATTCGAATTCAGCGGAACGTGTATTGGGCAAAAAAATTAAAAACTTAAAAAAATATAGATAATAAACGACTCTAACAATTTATATCAAGCTGCAGCTWATATTATGTTATTATGTATGACTATCAATAAGAGCCAGTGTGGCAGTATTGATGATATTATATTTCTTTTTATTGTTAAGAACACAGTAAAATGAAAGATAAAAGTACTTTATACAGCACGAGTGTTAAATACTCTTATACTTTTATTAATAAACATAGGTATTTACGCACATATCCTTGAATTACAGTACCCGAGGAAAATAGGTTCCTATATTATACATTTTAATTAATAGTATTATTATATTATTAATTCACCAATAACATAATCACTTTTCAGATATATATATATATATATATATATATATATATAATATGATAAATACTCGAATGTGTGTGTTTATGTGTCTATGTGTATAGGAACACATTTATATCGAGTTTAATAAATATATCAGCAACCGACGTGCGACACAATACACGTGCTGCATACACGTGTAGATCGAAAATATAGGGGAACACACTTCAGTAGTTTTCTCAGATAACGCCATCTTCGACGATATAATATATTTTTTCACTGATAAATGATCAGTTTTTTTCATTTTGAAGCCGTCGATGCACAAAAAGGGCGTATATACGACACCGTGATGTTTATAGGTGTTATATATATATATACATACATAACATATTTTATTTTTCGGCTTATTTTATCGGTCTTTTGAACATGTTTTTTTCGTTAGTGACTTTACATAGATTATATTATTAAATATAAAAATTAAAAAGAAAAACATTTTTCGACACATGTTCAGCAGCCTGCGCATATACAATGTATATATATTATATATATATAACCTCAAACGACAAAATAGATTTTTTCTACTACATTTTGGACACGGGGTTGATTAGAAGTTTTAACGCATATAAGGATATAAGCCGTATACTTAATGTATATGTACTTCATTATGAGATCTTTAAAAATAAAAATGAAAAAGGACGCGTTTGTAATAGATGATGAGGAGTGACTTGCTACAACAACGTAGTAGAATCTGACGTTGTATATACTCTTATAGGAAAAAAAAAAATTAAAAACGTGCGCTCTTTTACCAGACACATAAACTACAAAAAAACTCCCATAAATAACTCAAAGATGAGAGATATATATGAGTAATATATAATATAATATAATGTTATATATTTTAATTTTAGATAAGAATCTTGGGAAATCAGTCTCGTCGAAGAGAAAAACAAACTCATAATTCATTGTAATAAAAATATACCTAATATATATATTATATATACATATATATGTATTTATTCTTTTCATCAAAACCTAACTTAGAATTTTCTAACCTTTTTTAACTTATAATCCCACAAGCTCAAAATTAAAAATGAGTGCTTATAAAAAAAATATAGTTAGGTATTAGGTATACCTAATAATTATACGACTATATTACCTGTTTGAAAAATAACTCGATTGAAGTTGGGAGTCCACGATTAGGCGTTTACATTGGCTTCGTGCAGAAATCTGTGACCGTTCGTCGGTTGCAGCGGCGATTGACCCTCTTGCTCACGGCGGCTATGTCTCCTCTAAGTCTTGGCCGTATCTAAAATAAAACACAACAATGCACATTATATTAGAAATTGAATTAATTTCGTACACACACGCATGTACACACGTACACACGCCATACACGTACACAAATATACGCACCATCACGCGTTACGTATATCAGTACACATACACACACACATATATATAATTTGTATTATGTCATATATAAATATATTATACGATATACCTCCAAGTACGTGTAGCGAATATATAATATATATACACAAACATAGGGTTGAGATACATCTCTGCAGTCTTCTCACGCGGGGTAGTTTAATTTCCTGAGCGCAGGGGTCCACAATCGCGAGCACTTGTATACACGCGCCGATCCCTGTAGCAATGCTACAGCATATACAATATATATATGTATATAGTGAAGCGGTTTTATCGCTCTACTCGAGAGTAAATTTTAATTTCGAATAATGCATATATATATTATACTCAGCGCAGTGAAGAACCGCGCCGTTTACCGAAAAGCCTATCAGTTGTAATCCCTCACGGGAAACGCCGCTTCGCACGATTGCCGGAATTCGTGGGACGGGCACTAATTAAAAACAGACCCCTCGTTTCATGTTTATAAATATATATTATATAGATAGGTACATATTATTATATATTATACGACTGCAGCGGCGTGTATCCTCCCGGCGTATTCTGCAGCAGCACATTATACGCATACAAACGCGCAGATTATTATTATTATTWTTTTAGGTTAACGTTACCAATTTACTATCTTTTGGGTTAATTATAGCGGAGGGATTCGAGGAAAAATTTCACGGCTTTTATAGAAGAAAACATACATAAATATGCTTATAAATTATATTCGTCTAATTTAATTTTAATATTGTTAATTTAACGCCAAAATGTCGTCAATATATTATTTAGATTTTACTATGTGAACAAATGGGAGTAGCTGGTACAATATTATATATAWACATTTTAATGGAATATTATATAGTATAATGGTTAAGTATTTTGAACTACGAACGTTATTTAAATGCGTGTTTTATTTTATTTTTAAAGAGACTGAAAATATGTTTTGATTTGCTCCTGGAAAAAATTTGCTGTAATTTTTTTTCATGAAAACGAATATGTTTAATTTTTGTGAGTATTGCTTTAACCTGTAAGTACGAGAAATTATAATGATAATGTCATAACTCTAAGTAAATATCTTAATATTTTGAATTTATCATCAAATAATTTAGGTGAGTAAGATCAAAATAAATGGTGAAATGATTTTTAAAAAAAAGATAAAATACGGGCCCTTGGCCATAAATAAATATACATATATATATATATATATATGGTTATTTTTAGTTATGTTTGACCTTTATTACCTATATTATACATATTAAATATCATAACAGATATATATGATGCGGCTTCGATTATTCGGTCTATTACACACATACTGTATACTATCTGAAAAATATTGTTAAACTAGATTCGTATAATATTAACGACGTCTATTACGTAATTATATCATGTGAGCGATAGTAATCTGAGCATCGTGTGCGGGCCATCTTGCATCTCTCATCCTCCCGCCATCATCGTTTTTTTGGTGGTTATCGAAATGCATAGCATCGGTGGCCCCATCGCCAAGACCGCCGCAGTGACGACAAATCTCCGCCTTATCCCATATATATATACGCGTAATTATAATACATATATAATCTATGTGGTATATAGTTGTAAACGCGTCTCTCATGGTGATTATAATATAAAACACGTGTATATCTATATATGTATGCTTGCGTATATATACATACCAAAAAGGGGAGAAATGCGTATTTATCCTGCTGCGGGACGCCCGTCGTACCGGATAGTCGTACCACACACATGCGCCGACGAATGATATAATATTATATGATGATGAAAAATGTCCCACTTGAAAACGAAAACCGTCTGAATTTATTTTCGGTCACGTGTGTGTGGTGCGACCGACCGACAATCTATTGAGACGATATTACGCTATACCCATAATATAATATCTGGGAGACCTCGGCGCACTATATTATTATGTATAATGATAATATAGTATATGCGGGCGTCGATGATTGACACGCAGGCCTCGATCGTCGGACGCATATACCGAAATATAATAATAATATATTATGTGTCGAAAAAAAGCAGACGCAGGGTGCGATTTCAGCTGCTCRTATATACTGCAGGAGGAAAACTTCAAGTGGAAAAATGTATACCTATCACTACACAAAACGATTGGACGAGGAAAATAAGTTTTAACCCAAACATATGGAAATGATGTATGTATAGGTACCTATTATATAAGCATCTATATGATGCTGCAGCAGTGACGACTACAAAGTTATAAAGAACGTCAAAAACTATATGATATATTATAAACACCATCATTGCTACAGCACCACTATTACATATTATACGCTTCAGCCTTCAGTCTAGACGCCATATCTCTCGAGGTATAATGTATATATATATATATAATTTTTTTTTGTGAATATAAACATGCATAGACTAGACTATAGGTATATAGATAAAGATTTGTAAACGCAAATATATCGCATATGAATATATAATAAATTATTTTAAATAAATAACAGCGTATAGGTATAAATTATTTTTTAAAATCGTTTTAGATGTAGATACATCTCGTGTTTTAAAATGTGCTAATATAAAGGTTCCTTAATTATATTACATATTCATTCAGCGTGCGTTTTCCAATTTCCAATTTTTACAAGTACATAAGTACATGTTGTACACAACAGTGACAGAGAACGACTAAACCATTTGATTATAATATATTCACATGTTTAATTGTTTAAACATATTAATTTAATATTGGTACCTATATAAATTATAAGTATTATAACGTACTATATGTATGTAGCGATATAGATATATTATGTTTATACCTATATAATAATATAATATCAAATTCTTTATATATTATTGCTAGAATATAATAAATATTTTTATAAAATACATAGCCTGCATAATGTATATCAATTTACAACAGCATTATTTTATATTACCGCCGTTGCACATTTTTAGTACGATATATATAAATATATGGATGTTTATTTTGTACACATTCAATTTAAATTTGACGGGTAATTCTATAAATACCTATTCTGTGCTATTGCAATATAATATAGGTACCTTAAATGATATATAATAGACTTATAAGTTATATATATAATTAATTATATACGCCCATTATATAATATTATTCAGGAAGCGAAGCGAAGCAATGTCTTAGGTATTTTATATTTTATCTTGATTCAATTTTTACAAAATTGCAGGTAATATGACTGTGTGCCTATATATATATATAATATATATATGATGCTGGCTGATATAAAATATAATATACAACTATGTATTGTGTAAAAATGATTGGCGTTTCACGACGATGTGATGATGAATAACATATGCGTGCATATGCACGCGTCCATGATGGTACATGATGGTATATGTGTGTAGWCATATTAGGTACTCCTCAGTTCATCACACACGCGCGCTCATATATCATAATAATCATATATAACCGATACAATTTAAAGTAATACTTAAATAATAAACTAAGTAGATATCTATATGCATAAAAGTATTAAAAAATATTTTATGCCTTGATGGGTACAAATATTAAAAACATAATGCGCATATAATATATAATATATACAATAGGTACCTACTACATAATATAATATATGTATATATTATATACCTATATTGGGAAATAAAAACATCGATACGTTTATTGTTATCGAAAATTTTGGAATAATGCATTTATATTTTATAATCAGGAAATTTAGCATCTATTAATCTTATATTTACACACATGACTGATATATAGTGTATATATACAGTTTACGCATAACGTATAAGCCACTTATAAAAATATAGTTAAAACAATATAWATTATTTGCATCACCGCATTCACATCACCGCATATAACATAAACATAGTATACTTATTACATATACAGCCGGTATCTCTGCAGGTGTAATATTTACCTATACATATATTATATAATTATGCTGTTATATATTATAAACACGTGCAAACATTTATAGCGATCGTATAAAATTCGAATCTCGACTAAATGGCGATCTACTATAAATGCTGCATATGCAGCCGACTGGGGATCGCGGTTTTATCGTGCGACGGACGGGTCGCGTGGTAGGCGGCGAAGAGTATATAGATGTGTATATACTGTATATAAGTATACATTTGCAAAAAACTATATATCTATATAGTTGATTTTGTATATATACCTATGTTCAACTGCAAACGCACYCAAACCATAAAACCGTGCGGCCCTCTTCCTATTATTACCATCAAGCATGGGATTGTGTATACCTAAAATATATATGTATATAGAGCGGAATAATACCAGAGTATTTTAAATATATACATATAGTATATATGATATATATATATATATGCATTAGCTGAGGTAATTACGAGGCTGCTGCTGCAGCAATCTCGTTGGCTTTATCTGAGTCCCGAGACTGACTTATACCAACCGGCAACCACTATCATTACTGAAAGTTTATACATCTTTATTAGTAGACTATTATAAAACTGTATATATATGTATGTATGTATGTATGTATATATTATATGTATTATATACAGGGTGATTAGAAATTTGCGTATTTTATTCGAAAATGGTGGTGGTCTTGCTGAGTTGAACACTACGTCTAGATATATAATACATCCGATTTCAACAGACTTGTTAAAAATATTTATATCTGTAAATATGGAATATGTACCTATATACTGYAGATAGATGTATCTCCATATATCTCTCTATAATCTATATATAGACTTTAGAGATATAATAATAAATCGTTTATAACTTTATTATAGTACCTACATACTATTCTCTTGTTTATATATTAATATCTATATTTTTTTTAAATAATACCTAGCTATACTATTTTATTGTATATATTGATAGATGATTATACAATTAAATATAGTGTGGCTTGGTGAAGTGCGGTCGTA